ATTCATTATTGGTAAAGACATTTATAAAACTTTATTAAAATTTTACTTAAATAAATGCATTATAATAATTTGTAATTAAAATTACATTATTTTTCTGAATAGTTCATCCACTAATGAATAAATTGTTTCAATTACTTTTATTCAATTTGTTTTATTCTTCAAAACAATGGGTAGTAGTAGCTAAAATTATTTAATAACATTTTTTTTTATTTACGGATTTGAATATATAAATAAACAGATGTTGAATGTACAGTATGTGTATGTGTGTGTATATATATATATATTTTTTTTTTCAATTGAATTTGTGTTTAGGAGTAGACTGTGATATACTTGTTTAAGTTTATAAAAGCACATACTTACAGATAAGTTTTACTGTATTGATTAACCATCATGCCATTAAATGTATTAATTATTCAGAAGTTATACAACAATAATAGCAAATTGTCTTTTTTTCCATATTATTTCTAGTGAAGATCTTAGTGAAGTTTCTTTCCCAAACTCTGTCTCATTGAGTTGGTTTCCATGTGTATCATGATTCGATGTAGTGATCCAGGTTTGATGGAAAGCACACCTCCACACTCAAATTGATAATATTTACAGTTTATTTACAGATTCTATATACAGAAAGTACAAGTTTGAAAACATAATATATATACAGGATAACAATGCGTGATGACTCGCATACTAGATTGGTTTCTGGGAACTGTTAAACTTTGGAGAGGCCTCAGTCAGCTTGTGGAGTTGGCTAAACTGCGCAGTCAGTCCAGTCTCTGCACTAACCCATCACTGAGATGCTTACCAGAGGAGAACTCTCTCTCTACACTCAGCGGGCTTCCTAAGTGCCTGAAACTACAATGTACCAGTCTCTTGCCCTTCTCTCCCCGCAATTTAAGGGTTTTTTGGATGGGGACTTCCGACCAGTCACAACCCTTTCTTGCCCGAACAGTTTACACTCGGGTCCACCTTCATCCGACGAGAGTGAAGCTTACATAAATGTCTGCCACTTGTTTACATTTAGTTATTTACCATATGGCAAATGATCTATCGTCTAACCACAGGTGGGTCCAATTGACAAAGTCGGTGCTTCCTTTGTTTTCCCTCTATTTACAAGTCAACACCTTACAAGTGGTATATTGCCCGACTGCATGTGGGTCCAATTGACAAGGTCTCACTTCTTTTGTTCCCTCTCTGCTGAAAGGTCAATACTTTACATTTCCCAATTCTTATTTATTGCTTAAAAGCAAAGTGGAAGTTAATGAAGTTAACAACAGATGCAAAACCATAACAAAGCTATAATTATTGTCAAATTACATTGAATAATTTGAAGTGCAGGAAGATGCAGAGGAAACACTAATGCTACTTTTGTTTAAAATTTGCAACATTACTTTTATGGAGACTAAGAATGCACTGAAAAAAAATGAATATGTATTTTAACATAAGTTTAATTTTGTATTTTATATTTGTTTTATTTAAGCTTACTGTAAGTATTTTCAATGTATCTTTAATGTTCAAGCTGTTGCAGATTTCTAAAAGAAAGATTTAAAAACAAAATCATTATTTTTTCATAAAGTAGCTTATTAAATTAATACAAAAATCTATACATCTATATTGTAGAAATTTTGTAATGTTAAAAAAATTTTAAAACATTTAAATTTTTAAATCTCAAATGGAGGTGTTAAATCTCCCATGTGCAAGTCTTTGTTAATGTCCCAGAAACTTAAATAATTTTAAACAAAAGGATCATTAATCTGTTAAGCTCCTTGTTCTGACATCAACAATTGATTAAAGTCTTACTGTATTTGATTAATTATTCATAAACCACAAAATATATTTCATATTTGATTTGTGAATATGGAGTATTAGCACATAAAAATTATAGCCAGCCACACACAGCATTAATCATTAAAAATAAGTTTGATCTGCAATGAAATTGGCTAATATTGGTAAGTAATAAGTTATTATTTGGCAATTATTTAGTAAGAGTAAGATGTTATAAATCCTCAATTTATAATAAGGGTATATTAATTATAGCAATAAGTTGACACTTTAAATATAATATAACCAGGGTGGCCAAGCTCCTTGATAGTCCGAGCCATTTTTCAAAATTTGAAATTTTTCGCGAGCTGCAATTAAATACGTATTAAAAAGGTATGCAAAAAATTCCAGATTACAAATTATATCCGTAGCAAGAGTGATACAAATTGTTTCCTCCAGAGCACAATGNACCAGTCAACCCCCCTATAACACTGTTGATTTTTCCGTTTTATATGAATTCCATGTTGTACGAGTCACTTATATTTTACAAACACATATGCCAGGCTGTGAACGGCTCACGTATTTGTAAAATCTAAGTGACTCATACAACACGAAATTCATATAAAACGGAAAAATCAACAGTGTTATAGGGGGGGTCAACTTGTACCTCTAAATTTCAACATTCATGCAGTTTTTTTAAAATGAAGAAATTTGAGTAGTTTTTTAAAAAGCAGATTTGATTTGACAATCATTAACATATCTACTTTACATTTTTAAATTTATGTCCATATAAATTTCTTAATTTTTTTAATTAAGAAATTTAATTCTTAAATTTTTATTAGTTAAATTTCATTATAAAACTGATTTAACTGAATCAACATTTTTTTTTGTAGTTTTGAATGTTCATAAATTGAAAGTCTCATCACCCAATACAGCAGTATTGTTACAGAAAGAATTAAGAAAAATCGGCAAGAAAGAATACATTTAAAGAATATCCAAGAAAATTTATTAAAATACAAATTCTAGGTAAAAAAATTAATACATTTTTATTGATCGATTGGTTAGAAACTTAAGAAAAACCATCATTTTCAGTTACTACTATAGTACTAGATTTGGAGTTTGGAGTATACTGCCATAAAAATATCTATGAAAATAATTGGCAGTCCATATTTTGTTACTCTCTCAGGCAAAAAATATTCAGATAGAGGAATTAAAATTCAATAGATAAATTTATTTTGCCTAAACATGGAGTAATCTAAAGGGACAATTTTCTTGTGTAAAGTTTTGGAACTGTTGCATATTGATAATAGTGTTGTTTAGTTGAAAATTTTAATGAATTGACATTACGAAATAATCTAGGATAAAAAAAAGAAAGAAATATAGTGTCATACTAGTGTTTAGTATGCTGAAAAAGCATTTCTAAGCTGTTTAAAACTACAGTAAAGTTATCTACAAGTTGAAACACTTTTGAATCTAATAATTCTAAATGTAAGTTCTGTTACATGAGAGAATAAAGAATTGCATAATGTTTTTAACGTGGACTTACTAAATTATATTTAGAAAATCCACTTGAAATATTCTGCATTATTATTATTTCCCTTTAACAACAAAAGTCCATAAATGCTTTGTTATCACAGTATGTAATATTAAGTATTTGAAAAACCTAAAAATAGATTTTTTAAATCAAAAGTAAGGACAAAAGATTAAATTTTTGGTCAGTTTCATTTTACAATGATGTTACATAACTGGAAAATTTTCAGGGTATTCAGATTTCAATTTTTATTGTATACATGAAGTTGCATTATACCATATATGCATGTGTTTAAAATAAAAAAGCTCTATTGTTTATCTTTACAATATTGTTGACACAAAAGAAAAAAAAAATTTGGAAATTATGAAAATTTGGTAACAATATTTATAAATTCACTAAGCCATAATGGTTGATTTTCCCACAGCACTGTTTGTTGCTTGTGGCCATTATGGATTAAAGTGATTTTATACACATCACTATTATACAGCATCCCTATTATGTGTAAAAAAATCTGGTAAATTTTTATTGTCTATTTATTGCAGTAAATTTTGTCTGTGGAAAAATTTTACTAGTGTAGTCTATGACTTATATGAAACTGCTGTTTCATGAATTATTTAAAATCTTTGGAGACAATTTAGTTGAAAATAAACATCTGCTGCTTACATTAAGATGTTTACTGTTAAGTCCAGTTCATATTTTGAGAATGGAGAGAACTACAAAAACAAATGTGCATGGTTTTCAGCTATAATCATAAAATTCTTTAAAATGTATATGCAATTATTCTTCTTGAACTTATGATTATAACCTTATAAAAATGAGTGCATTTTGGGATAATCTTTCAGAGTTTAAATAAGATCAGTATGTTGTTTTATATAACAATATTTACATAAGTATCTAGTCAAAATTAATTTATTACAATTTAATCTAAATTAATCCTACTGATAAAAAATGAAAATCTCTTTAGAATTAGTCCTGATAAAGGATGCAAATTGTAGGCTACCGAGAGAAAAGTACTAAACAGGTTAGTGCACACTTTGCATACTACTAGTCTTTAATCTTTATATACAAAAAACATTGCTATTGCTAGTCAAATACTGCTGAAAAATAAATTGTTGAAGATCAAATTTGAATTAAAGATAAAGATTTCTGATATTTTTCTAATTTATTTAACATAATCCCAAAATATGAAAAGAACTTTATAATTTGGCTTTTGAGATTTCTATATCTGCAGCTGGCATTATAAAAAACAAAAATACAACATACATTTAGTTTTTACAATATTTTATTTTTAAGCAAGGTTTTATCAATATCAATCTTTAAAACTGAAGTTCTCACTCAATCAAACATACCCGAATACACTGTCACAAAGGAATCTTTAAATGTGAATAAAATTGATGAAAACAATCTAATGGAACTACTAAAATATTCCTTGTCTTACCTTACAGATATTTGAAAAACAATTTCTATTATTATTGTTTATTATTATATAAAAGTAGAATGCCTGAAAGAGAAATTTTGAGTGAATTCATTGAAAAAACTTTCTTCGTAAACAAAATGACAATCTAGTTCTGGAACAAAGCTGCTTTAAATATATATGTATATGTAATACGTAAATGGCACCATTAAACAGTAACAAGTAACAGAATAGATGTTCCATGTTAATGCTATCAGAAACCATTTGTATCATAATATTATATATTTCATTCTTTTTTTTACATTGACCAAATGGAAAAACACAAGGAATCACAATACAGCTGATCACATTGATATAGTTCATTTTTCTTCACACCATTCATTCTCTTTTCTGACCTGAAATTAAATTTTAAGTAATTGAAATTTTTGCAAAAGCATTTTGTATATAAAAATAGTTGCTACTTACTTGTTCTTCTTCACTGGGTGTGAAGTCATTCTTGATGTTGAATGTTTTCCTTATTTCTTCTGGAGTCTTCCCTTTGATCATGTTGGCAACTGTTTTGCATGTTACGTCGAGCAATCCTTTTATGTCTAAGTAATTAGCTGCCTATAAGAGAATTTAATGTAAATTTTACTATTGAATATGAAGCAACCTATTTAAAAAATTTTATACCAAATTTATTATAAAATGTTTTAAATAGCTAAAAACCAGGATAAATATCCTGATTTTTAGCTATTTAAAACATTTTATAATAAAAAATTTAGGTCATAAATTGATTAATCCATTAGAGTTAGTCAAACTGTCCTGCAGAACCAAAAGATTCCACAAGATGGAAGGGGCTCCGAGAAACATTTAACTTAGGTCACGCACATAGGACCTCATTACTGTTATTAATCAATCATTCAGCCACAGAGTGCACGGACAATACATCACTGCTTTACTCTGGAAGCTTTTAAAAAAGGTATACTTGCTGCTATTTCATTCTACTTTTGATTTACTTTATCTACTAAAGAAATTATTTTATATGTTAAGGTACTGGATATTTTAATTCAGCTTTGTGGAGATGTGTTCTTAGTTGTCTGTATCGTTTTAGGGCATGTTAAAAAAAAATGAAGAAAAACCAATTTATTGTATCCCAAGCTGCATAAATAATTCTTACCAGAATTAACTCAAATAATGTGCCCTGATCAACTTTTAAAAAATCAGCATCCCAAGAGCTTATATCATCTGTCCTCTTCTCTTTATTTTCATCATCTTCTGGAGGAAGAGGATCATCTTTGTGATACGTAGCCCACTGGATCACCTTCTTTAAAATAACTGAATTCACATTTGGAAGAGGTATAACNGTCTCATCATAACACTAATATCCACTGAATGTGGCATACTGTGCAAAATTAATTTTGAAGACCTTTCAATTTGGCAACTTTATATCTCTACCTGCATTACTATAATCAATTAATAAACTCCAAATACCTTTAAAATGCAATCTATTTTAAAAACTTGTCGAACGTTTTCGGTCAGATTAACAGACCTTCTTCACGATCGAACTAACAGAATTTAAATTTGCCAAACGAAAATTCCAAAACGTTCTATAATCTTCTTATTATTCAATTGCGCAGGTCCATTTTTATAATTGTAACGCCGCTGCTTTCCATGCTGCTGCTATTTTGTTTGATTCTCGAAAATTTATATTTTGCCCTTTTTCTCTGCATTTGTAAATGTGCCAGGCTTCTGCATTTTAAAAAATATCATTTGGCGCTTTGGCTGTTTTTTCGGCTATATATTATTTATAATTATATTAATTGAATAAAAATGCACTTTAAAATGGCGATTCGTCGCTTTTTATTAATTAGAGACCCAAATAAAACAAATATTTGTGTTTTTCAAATAAATTTTCATTTGTCTCTTATAATAAATGAATTTATCTATTTTTAAGTAAAAATTTAAAGTGTCTGTATAAGTAATTTTTTGAAATATCCTTTTTCTTGATAAAGTTTTAATACTTATTATTATAATCTAGACATGTTAATTTTTAAATATACTTGTATACTGGGCCACAAGTATATATTATATATACTTGTGGCCCAAAACTCCTTGACTTCTTCCAATGCAGCCCAGAGAAACAAAAAGGTTGGACACCCCTGCTCTATAGACTATGCATATACTTTTCAATGTTGAAAAGATCTCTCTTGCACCCAGATAAATGTTAATGAACACCCTGTAAATTTTTCTCCTTTGGTAGGAAACTAGGATATAGGATCCTGTAATTGAGCCGAATATTTTTACAGTATCATATAATGTGATCTTATGGAGAAATGGTGCATTAAGTCATACAAATACTGTAACTATCACTCAACAATGCTGTACAGTATTTCTATTCATTATTGGTAAAGACATTTATAAAACTTTATTAAAATTTTACTTAAATAAATGCATTATAATAATTTGTAATTAAAATTACATTATTTTTCTGAATAGTTCATCCACTAATGAATAAATTGTTTCAATTACTTTTATTCAATTTGTTTTATTCTTCAAAACAATGGGTAGTAGTAGCTAAAATTATTTAATAACATTTTTTTTTATTTACGGATTTGAATATAGAAATAAACAGATGTTGAATGTACAGTATGTGTATGTGTGTGTGTGTATATATATATATTTTTTTTTTCAATTGAATTTGTGTTTAGGAGTAGACTGTGATATACTTGTTTAAGTTTATAAAAGCACATACTTACAGATAAGTTTTACTGTATTGATTAACCATCATGCCATTAAATGTATTAATTATTCAGAAGTTATACAACAGTAATAGCAAATTGTCTTTTTTTCCATATTATTTCTAGTGAAGATCTTAGTGAAGTTTCTTTCCCAAACTCTGTCTCATTGAGTTGGTTTCCATGTGTATCATGATTCGATGTAGTGATCCAGGTTTGATGGAAAGCACACCTCCACACTCAAATTGATAATATTTACAGTTTATTTACAGATTCTATATACAGAAAGTACAAGTTCAAAAACATAATATATATACAGGATAACAATGCGTGATGACTCGCATACTAGATTGGTTTCCGGGAACTGTTAAACTTTGGAGAGGCCTCAGTCAGCTTGTGGAGTTGGCTAAACTGCGCAGTCAGTCCAGTCTCTGCACTAACCCGTCGCTGAGATGCTTACCAGAGGAGAACTCTCTCTCTACACTCAGCGGGCTTCCTAAGTGCCTGAAACTACAATGTACCAGTCTCTTGCCCTTCTCTCCCCGCAATTTAAGGGTTTTTTGGATGGGGACTTCCGACCAGTCACAACCCTTTCTTGCCCGAACAGTTTACACTCGGGTCCACCTTCATCCGACGAGAGTGAAGCTTACATAAATGTCTGCCACTTGTTTACATTTAGTTATTTACCATATGGCAAATGATCTATCGTCTAACCACAGGTGGGTCCAATTGACAAAGTTGGTGCTTCCTTTGTTTTCCCTCTATTTACAAGTCAACACCTTACAAGTGGTATATTGCCCTACTGCATGTGGGTCCAATTGACAAGGTCTCACTTCTTTTGTTCCCTCTCTGCTAAAAGGTCAATACTTTACATTTCCCAATTCTTATTTATTGCTTAAAAGCAAAGTGGAAGTTAATGAAGTTAACAACAGATGCAAAACCATAACAAAGCTATAATTATTGTCAAATTACATTGAATAATTTGAAGTGCAGGAAGATGTAGAGGAAACACTAATGCTACTTTTGTTTAAAATTTGCAACATTACTTTTATGGAGACTAAGAATGCACTGAAAAAAAATGAATATGTATTTTAACATAAGTTTAATTTTGTATTTTATATTTGTTTTATTTAAGCTTACTGTAAGTATTTTCAATGTATCTTTAATGTTCAAGCTGTTGCAGATTTNTGTAGTTTTAGTATAAAATTTAAACTTGAGTCAATATTTTTAATGTAATGTGAGAGAGGCCAGACTTGAAAAGAAAATTTTATTCAAAAATTTTCTTCGGAAAAAAAAAAAAGATTGCTACGGATGTGATTATATCATTTCCCACAGACTTACTTCCCTGTTTGAGAGTGACACATCGAATGCGTCACTAGGAATCAAATGCAAAAAATTGCCATTGGATGTGAAGAACGATTTTACCAAAAAAGGACAAGAATTGTGAGGGGGAGGACCCCCAAATAAAGAAGAAGGTTCGATGACGCGACAGGGAGTTTGCTCGACAGAAGAGTTAGCATCCTCAAAGGTTGGTCGTGTGTGTACACTCGGATACATTTTATTGCCGATGCTCCTCCAATAGCCAGTGATCAGAAGTTTAACCGCCGATAGCCGATGAGTCCAAGTACCCACTAAGAACATGTCTTCACCGAAAAAAGGACTCAATTCAAGAAAGCGATCTTCAGGTAAATACCACGCACGAACAATTGTAAACTCTCTCTCTAAAAGCATTAATGTAACTAGTTTAGGCCTATATAATCAATAAACGGATATTAATTTCTATAATTGAATTGTAAAGCGCACTTCTTTAGCTTAAATGGTCTCCATCCCAAGTCCAACCGCCCACAGACGCGACTGCTCGTGCGTAAATTCGAACGTAATGGTGTATCTACCCAGAAGACACAGTGGTGTCGGTCCTGATAAATTTGTCATTGCAGTCTTTGCCAATGCAATGTCGACCCTTCGGTCCTGTAGTGCCGAAGCATAGAGGTGGCCCTTCGGCATTGTCACAAATGTAATTATAACTAAAACTAAATTATGCAAAATATAAGCAATTATATCTTTCTGAACATGCAAAAATGTCACCAAATGTTTTATTGTATATGTATATAAAGAACTGAATTACTATTGATAATCATAATATTAAATAATTACAAAGATAAAAAATATTTAACATTATGCATTATCAAAATACAAACAAGAAATATGTGAACATTATAACAGTAAAGTTATAGTAATTGTTAATTAAACATGATTTAATATTACCAATATTTTTAAAACATTTTGTTTAATTTTATTTTGTATTTATTTTCTTTTTGTGTGTTGTTGTAACTTCTCATCATTGTAAAGATAAACATAGACATTTCATTACATACAAATTAATGTATCCCCTTGTTAAAAATTCTGAGAAAAATAAGAAACTAAATAAATAAATGAAATTCTGAATTTCAGTGTTAATATATTTTAAAAAAATAAAAAATATATTAACTTAAGACTAAGTATAAATTGACTACTGCAATAAGTTCTTGCATGATGCTTGATTTTTGTAAGTTTATTGTTTTTTAAAAATTACATTAATTAACTAATCAAAATGGGTATACATAAGTAATTACTATATATAGAACCAATATCCAGCAAGAAACTACAAAACTATATACTTTCTATGTGCAGTGCTTACAAATATATTAAAACCAAAAGTCAGAATTTCCTTTATTTATCCTCTTTGCTTATGGTGCAATTTAAATTACTCAAATCAATGACCAAACAAGATTGTCTCATCATAACACTAATATCCACTGAATGTGGCATACTGTGCAAAATTAATTTTGAAGACCTTTCAATTTGGCAACGTTTTTGATAATTATATCTCTACCTGCATTACTATAATCAATTAATAAACTCCAAAATACCTTTAAAATGCAATCTATTTTAAAAACTTGTCGAACGTTTTCGGTCAGATTAACAGACCTTCTTCACGATCGAACTAACAGAATTTAAATTTGCCAAACGAAAATTCCAAAACGTTCTATAATCTTCTCATATTCAATTGCGCAGGTCCATTTTTATAATTGTAACGCCGCTGCTTTCCATGCTGCTGCTATTTTGTTTGATTCTCGAAAATTTATATTTTGCCCTTTTTCTCTGCATTTGTAAATGTGCCAGGCTTCTGCATTTTAAAAAATATCATTTGGCGCTTTGGCTGTTTTTTCGGCTATATATTATTTATAATTATATTAATTGAATAAAAATGCACTTTAAAATGGCGATTCTTCCAACATTGCAAGATTTGGCTACATTGGGCCAAATGTGGCTACTTATTTNCTTAGTAGTATAGAATATATCTTAAAATAATAAAAAGTAGAGAAACAAATAAATGCTCTAGATAAACTTTACACTTGGAAATTAAAATAGCTTTGCTTGGAATAAGTTTAATTTCATTTATTACCGATGATCCAGAAGTGCTTTGATTATAGCAGCCATTTGTAAATAGACCTTTAGTAGTAATAAATAAATAACCCATACTAATAACGTAAGCAACCCATACTAAATTAAAGGGAAAAATTCAGTTCACTACTGCATTAAAAAATATTTACATTCTTGGTACTGCAAATGGCTGCTATATGGAAGGACATTCTGTTACTTGTTATATCAGGTGATCCAGACCATAGCCTAATCTATCTAGCCCATAGAAAGTCTATATCTACAAATATAATTATGTATCAAGAGGAAATTAGAGTACAATTTACTATATTATCAGATATGGTTATTCATTACTACTATATTTTGTGAAATATTGTATATGATGTTTAGCTGTCATGAAGCATTTTGGTCAATGAATTTGAAATTATCTGATATTAATCTAAGTTTAGGAAAGTCCGAGTTAGTGGTGTTTTCTCCGACTTGGGAGATGAATACACAGTACGATAAATTATTACAATCTGCTCTACGAAGAAGTTTTACTGCTGAATTTATTCATATGGGAAATCACTCAAGAAATTTCATTATGTTGCCATATAGTGTCTTTAGTAACCTACCAACTACAGTAATATAATGAATGCATGATATCAAACATTCATTAATTATAATTTTTCTGTTGAGAAATTTTAAATTACCATGCGAGTCATTCAAACTTCAAGTTAGTGGGGTGGGAGTTTACTGTATTTTAAAGTAAAACTAGTTTAATTAGGATTGAATAAAAATTTATCTGCATTTGAAATTAACACTTCAGAGTGAATTTTTCTTTAATATTTTAATAAATTCCTATCCTTTTAAAAAATTCAGTTGTAATGAATAAAAGATAAACTTATAATTTTTTTCTGGATTAATGATTTCAGTACATCGTAATCACACTATATATATAGTCATTCTGACATATAAACATACCAGTCAACCCCCCTATAACACTGTTGATTTTTCCGTTTTATATGAATTCCATGTTGTACGAGTCACTTATATTTTACAAACACATATGCCAGGCTGTGAACGGCTCACGTATTTGTAAAATCTAAGTGACTCATACAACACGAAATTCATATAAAACGGAAAAATCAACAGTGTTATAGGGGGGGTCAACTTGTACCTCTAAATTTCAACATTCATGCAGTTTTTTTAAAATGAAGAAATTTGAGTTTTTTAAAAAGCAGATTTGATTTGACAATCATTAACATATCTACTTTACATTTTTAAATTTATGTCCATATAAATTTCTTAATTTTTTTAATTAAGAAATTTAATTCTTAAATTTTTATTAGTTAAATTTCATTATAAAACTGATTTAACTGAATCAACATTTTTTTTTGTAGTTTTGAATGTTCATAAATTGAAAGTCTCATCACCCAATACAGCAGTATTGTTACAGAAAGAATTAAGAAAAATCGGCAAGAAAGAATACATTTAAAGAATATCCAAGAAAATTTATTAAAATACAAATTCTAGGTAAAAAAATTAATACATTTTTATTGATCGATTGGTTAGAAACTTAAGAAAAACCATCATTTTCAGTTACTACTATAGTACTAGATTTGGAGTTTGGAGTATACTGCCATAAAAATATCTATGAAAATAATTGGCAGTCCATATTTTGTTACTCTCTCAGGCAAAAAATATTCAGATAGAGGAATTAAAATTCAATAGATAAATTTATTTTGCCTAAACATGGAGTAATCTAAAGGGACAATTTTCTTGTGTAAAGTTTTGGAACTGTTGCATATTGATAATAGTGTTGTTTAGTTGAAAATTTTAATGAATTGACATTACGAAATAATCTAGGATAAAAAAAAGAAAGAAATATAGTGTCATACTAGTGTTTAGTATGCTGAAAAAGCATTTCTAAGCTGTTTAAAACTACAGTAAAGTTATCTACAAGTTGAAACACTTTTGAATCTAATAATTCTAAATGTAAGTTCTGTTACATGAGAGAATAAAGAATTGCATAATGTTTTTAACGTGGACTTACTAAATTATATTTAGAAAATCCACTTGAAATATTCTGCATTATTATTATTTCCCTTTAACAACAAAAGTCCATAAATGCTTTGTTATCACAGTATGTAATATTAAGTATTTGAAAAACCTAAAAATAGATTTTTTAAATCAAAAGTAAGGACAAAAGATTAAATTTTTGGTCAGTTTCATTTTACAATGATGTTACATAACTGGAAAATTTTCAGGGTATTCAGATTTCAATTTTTATTGTATACATGAAGTTGCATTATACCATATATGCATGTGTTTAAAATAAAAAAGCTCTATTGTTTATCTTTACAATATTGTTGACACAAAAGAAAAAAAAAATTTGGAAATTATGAAAATTTGGTAACAATATTTATAAATTCACTAAGCCATAATGGTTGATTTTCCCACAGCACTGTTTGTTGCTTGTGGCCATTATGGATTAAAGTGATTTTATACACATCACTATTATACAGCATCCCTATTATGTGTAAAAAAATCTGGTAAATTTTTATTGTCTATTTATTGCAGTAAATTTTGTCTGTGGAAAAATTTTACTAGTGTAGTCTATGACTTATATGAAACTGCTGTTTCATGAATTATTTAAAATCTTTGGAGACAATTTAGTTGAAAATAAACATCTGCTGCTTACATTAAGATGTTTACTGTTAAGTCCAGTTCATATTTTGAGAATGGAGAGAACTACAAAAACAAATGTGCATGGTTTTCAGCTATAATCATAAAATTCTTTAAAATGTATATGCAATTATTCTTCTTGAACTTATGATTATAACCTTATAAAAATGAGTGCATTTTGGGATAATCTTTCAGAGTTTAAATAAGATCAGTATGTTGTTTTATATAACAATATTTACATAAGTATCTAGTCAAAATTAATTTATTACAATTTAATCTAAATTAATCCTACTGATAAAAAATGAAAATCTCTTTAGAATTAGTCCTGATAAAGGATGCAAATTGTAGGCTACCGAGAGAAAAGTACTAAACAGGTTAGTGCACACTTTGCATACTACTAGTCTTTAATCTTTATATACAAAAAACATTGCTATTGCTAGTCAAATACTGCTGAAAAATAAATTGTTGAAGATCAAATTTGAATTAAAGATAAAGATTTCTGATATTTTTCTAATTTATTTAACATAATCCCAAAATATGAAAAGAACTTTATAATTTGGCTTTTGAGATTTCTATATCTGCAGCTGGCATTATAAAAAACAAAAATACAACATACATTTAGTTTTTACAATATTTTATTTTTAAGCAAGGTTTTATCAATATCAATCTTTAAAACTGAAGTTCTCACTCAATCAAACATACCCGAATACACTGTCACAAAGGAATCTTTAAATGTGAATAAAATTGATGAAAACAATCTAATGGAACTACTAAAATATTCCTTGTCTTACCTTACAGATATTTGAAAAACAATTTCTATTATTATTGTTTATTATTATATAAAAGTAGAATGCCTGAAAGAGAAATTTTGAGTGAATTCATTGAAAAAACTTTCTTCGTAAACAAAATGACAATCTAGTTCTGGAACAAAGCTGCTTTAAATATATATGTATATGTAATACGTAAATGGCACCATTAAACAGTAACAAGTAACAGAATAGATGTTCCATGTTAATGCTATCAGAAACCATTTGTATCATAATATTATATATTTAATTTTTTTTTTCACATTGACCAAATGGAAAAACACAAGGAATCACAATACAGCTGATCACTTTGATATAGTTCATTTTTCTTCACACCATTCATTCTCTATTCTGACCTAAAATTAAATTTTAAGTAATTGAAATTTTTGCAAAAGCATTTTGTATATAAAAATAGTTGCTACTTACTTGTTCTTCTTCACTTGGGTGTGAAGTCATTCTTGATGTTGAATGTATTCCTTATTTCTTCTGCAGTCTTCCCTTTGATCATGCTGGCAACTGTTTTGCATGTTACGTCGAGCAATCCTTTTATGTCTAAGTAATTAGCTGCCTGTAAGAGAATTTAATATAAATTTTACTATTGAATATGAAGCAACCTATTTAAAAAAAATTTATACCAAATTTATTATAAAATGTTTTAAATAGCTAATAACCAGGATATTTATCCTGGTTTTTAGCTATTTAAAACATTTTATAATAAAAATTTAGGTCATAAATTGATTAATTTATTAGAGTTAGTCAAACTGTGTGCTGTAGAACCAAAAGATTTCACGAGATGGAAGGGGCTCCGAGAAAAATTTATCTTAGGTCACATACATAGGACCTCATTACTGTTATTAATCAATCATTCAGCCACAAAGACAATACATCACTGCTTTACTCTGGAAGCTTTTAAAAAAGGTATACTTGCTGCTATTTCATTCTACTTTTGATTTACTTTATCTACTAAAGAAATTATTTTATATGTTAAGGTACCGGATATTTTAATTCAGCTTTGTGGAGATGGGTTCTTAGTTGTCTGTATCCTTTTAGGGCGTGTTAAAAAAATGAAGAAAAACCAATTTATTGTATCCCAAGCTGCATAAATAATTCTTACCAGAATTAACTCAAATAATGTGCCCTGATCAACTTTTAAAAAATCAGCATCCCAAGAGCTTATATCATCTGTCCTCTTCTCTATATTTTCATCATCTTCTGGAGGAAGAGGATCATCTTTGTGATACGTAGCCCACTGGATCACCTTCTTTAAAATAACTGAATTCACATTTGGAAGAGGTATAACATCCTCTTCATCTTCATCCATGCCAAGATCTATATTGAAATGAAAAAAAAAAAAAAAATGAGTAAGCTAGTACTTATTAATTCTGAAAATATTTTAAAAACATTAATAAAATTTTGCTGTTCGAAAATGGATTAAATTGGTTATTCTGTAACATAATAATAATAATGAGTTGATTAGTCTGACAATAAATAAATGTTTAACTCAGTTAACTGGAATTCTGACTCATGTTGAAAATTCATTTGCAAATTAAGTAAATTAATTATAAAACACACAATTTTCTTGGAATCTGTTTATGTTAAATCTGTTATAGGTAATTTGACTTTATTATACATGCTTTGGATTGCTATTGCATGATCAAAACTCAAATATTAGATATTGAAACCCCACTGCATTAAAATAAGTGTCTTGCATCAGTTTGTAAATAAAAGCAAATCTATCAAAAATAGATACTTTGACATTATTGCACTTTCTACAGTCAATTTAATTATAGTAATTCATAATTACGAAGTTAACAATAAGACCAAATTCTAAAAAACAAAATCTTAAGACAATTATGAAAAAGTTAATACAATGCTTAAGAATTTTTTTTATATACATACGTTGTCTAAAAAGAAAAACTTTTGCTCTAGAAATATAATTAGTTGGCACAAGTACTAACAGTCAAAATTATATTATCATGTGCAATAGCATTTGAATCAGTTCATAACATTCCTTTGTGTAGCATGAAATGTAAGAGTTATTTCATGACCCTTGTCAGAAAATTGCAATGGAGCAATGTGTCAATGTTAAATTCTGTGTGAAACTGAAGAAAAGTTTACTGAAACATTAAGTTACATTAAGTTTATATTCTTGTCCTAAAATTTAATTTAAGGACAAGGATATAAACTTAATGCAGATGATTCTGCAACAAGCCTTAAGAATAAGACTTGCTGCAGAACGCCCTGCATTAAGTTTAGGGACATGTCTTTCAATGGCGTGGCAGACTCTACTGGACAAGGATATTTAATTTTCAAGCATATTTAAAGTGGAACACATGCACATTCAAACTAATCCTATTGTTCAATCTTATTTTAAACATCTCAATGGAAATGCATGTACTGTATGTACGGTATCCAAAATCTATTACCATTCAATTTATATTTGAATGTTAACTGCCAGCTTGTTTGGAATAAAAAAAGAAGCCCAAAGAGTCCAGAAGAGGTTACAAAAACATTCGCAAATGTCAATCATATTCACACCAGTTAATTAGTTAATGTGAATTGCACTTTTTACATTCATTATGCTCAGGACATCATCAAAATGGCTCACTGAAACCCAAATTCTCTTGAAAACATTGTCATGGGTGGTTAGACATGGTGCTGCCAGTACAATCCATTGACAAATGTCAAAGTACTATATGGAAATCATCACACTAGCCCTTACATTAAAACTTTGCTTCCAAAAATCACAGGTCAAGACCATGCTCATCTGTTTTTGACTCCAAGGGTATCAAGCACTTATTCCAAATGACCAGAATGTCACTAAGAAATATTATTTGGTTATTTTGTAATGACTTTGAAATCAAATTTTACATATACAGTTGGCCACAGCTAAACAAAAATGCACCCTCACACAAGAGCACTGCTGTTTATCAATTTTTGGCTCAAAAGGTATTGACCATCCATTCTATTCTCCTGATCTGGCTCCCTCTGACTATTTTCTGTTCAATGAAACTTAAAATTCCAATGAAAGGGACTCATTACAAAGACATTCGAGATTGCTGTGACTACAGTACTAAACCTGGTGCCAAAACAAGAGCTGAAAATTTTTTTGTTTTGATTCTTAAACACTATGTAGTGTAATAAATTCAAACACTTGGTATTCTATCATCTTTATTTAGTTCAGTTCATCTTTATTGACAAGACTGTCTTGTTTATAAATCGTACTGCCTCCTGTGTTACCAGCTTAGAGTATAAAGGAGTACATTGTCAGGAGTTGCAATTTGGCACAGAGTATTAGGTGCCCAAATCATGCAAGCATAAAAAAAACCAGACTTGTAGATACTCAGGGGACCAAGAACAGAGTCAAAATAAAATACAAAATGGCAACTCTACAAACAGGCAAACCAAAGTCAGGTGGTGAGAGTATCACCCACAGTCGTTCTAGGAAGTGGACTCTGACTCTAGGACTAAACACGTAGTATTTTCTTTGTTAAATAAAATTTGTAATCTAATTTTGTAAATTTGGGAGTGCTTCAAATATGACATCAAAAAAGAGTTTTATGTTGTTACAAGTAGGTTTTTTAACGTTATCTAGTATAATAAAATCATGGGACTGAAAAATTTGATGTTATATTTGGTTTATTGTTACATCCGATGCCATTATAAGCAGGTTAAACCCGTGTTTCCCAATCTTTTTTGTGCTATGCCCCACCTAAGCCTTTCTAAAATTCTTATGCCCCCTAACATATACAGCGGCTATACGGTTAACTTAAACTCTGGACGAGTCCATTTTTGAATTTTCCCCCAGTGGGGCGTGGGTCCCATGTTGGGAAACACTGGGTTAAACTGTATATTGTTTGTGCAAAATAAAAAAATAATTTTGGACGATACAATAGCCACAATTATTTTTTTCAAAAATGGGAAATTTTTATTATGCATCGACAAAAATTCAACCCAGGCCGACATGCAACGGAGAGAAATTTCAAAATTGGATAGGTTAAGTTCATCGAAAATGCATGGTGGATGACCCTGTGGTCATGGCTGACGAAGTTTGAACAATCGCGTCCAAAAGCAGTGATACCAAAGATGATTGGAGAATGAGAACAAGACCCACCTTGAGTGTCAAAGTGATTCCGCTTAGTAGTGAGTCTCTGAGACAGTGTTGTTCCAAATATAGTTTTGCCAATTTACTTGTTTAGTTCAGTTAAAAGATGATAGAATGCCAAGTGTTTGAACTTATTACACTACATGGTGTTTAGGAATCAAAGAAAAGTCACAACATAGTTTCAGATTATCAAAATAGCTGAAAGTCTTGAAATGCTCATTACTCATTCTGAACATTTTATTGCTACAGTATGATCTTATTTCAAATAAATAAACATTTATCGTAGTTTTTTCTTCCTTGAGGAAACATTTGATTTCTTTTTAAACAACTTACGTATCAATTTCAAAATAACCCTTCCAATAATTGACAAGACCAATTAAAATATCATTTCTCTAAGGTGTATAAAACATGTAAATTTCTATATTAAGTTTTACACATTTGTGAACTTTACAATAATCACCACCAAATTATCCAAGAATACAATCTTTTTTCCATATGTTAAAATATAAGAAACTTATCTGGTTCTCTTAATTGGGTAAGTAATTTAATGAATTATTTGTTTCTTCTATTTCTAATTTCAAAAGATATGTTTATGTTATTATTATTATAAATTTATTGAATAGTTATTCTATTATCATAACTTAGCAAAATGTCGAACTCTATACCTGGTGTGTTGACAACTATAATACTCTTATAAGTATCTATAATACTCTTTCTTCATTGATATTATTCAGTGTTAACTCTGCTAGTTTAGGAAATCTTACATTATTTATGGAAATTTTTTTTATCCCTTTATATATTAAAATCATTAATTATAATTTCATTTTGTTAAATGTACTTCTCATCAACCTGATTTTGCAAATTAGTAGCTAAGCTGATAAATGTTGAATGTGACAATTTGANTGTATTTTCTTTGTTAAATAAAATTTGTAATCTAATTTTGTAAATTTGGGAGTGCTTCAAATATGACATCAAAAAAGAGTTTTATGTTGTTACAAGTAGGTTTTTTAACGTTATCTAGTATAATAAAATCATGGGACTGAAAAATTTGATGTTATATTTGGTTTATTGTTACATCCGATGCCATTATAAGCAGGTTAAACCCGTGTTTCCCAATCTTTTTTGTGCTATGCCCCACCTAAGCCTTTCTAAAATTCTTATGCCCCCCTAACATATACAGCGGCTATACGGTTAACTTAAACTCTGGACGAGTCCATTTTTGAATTTTCCCCCAGTGGGGCGTGGGTCCCATGTTGGGAAACACTGGGTTAAACTGTATATTGTTTGTGCAAAATAAAAAAATAATTTTGGACGATACAATAGCCACAATTATTTTTTTCAAAAATGGGAAATTTTTATTATGCATCGACAAAAATTCAACCCAGGCCGACATGCAACGGAGAGAAATTTCAAAATTGGATAGGTTAAGTTCATCGAAAATGCATGGTGGATGACCCTGTGGTCATGGCTGACGAAGTTTGAACAATCGCGTCCAAAAGCAGTGATACCAAAGATGATTGGAGAATGAGAACAAGACCCACCTTGAGTGTCAAAGTGATTCCGCTTAGTAGTGAGTCTCTGAGACAGTGTTGTTCCAAATATAGTTTTGCCAATTTACTTGTTTAGTTCAGTTAAAAGATGATAGAATGCCAAGTGTTTGAACTTATTACACTACATGGTGTTTAGGAATCAAAGAAAAGTCACAACATAGTTTCAGATTATCAAAATAGCTGAAAGTCTTGAAATGCTCATTACTCATTCTGAACATTTTATTGCTACAGTATGATCTTATTTCAAATAAATAAACATTTATCGTAGTTTTTTCTTCCTTGAGGAAACATTTGATTTCTTTTTAAACAACTTACGTATCAATTTCAAAATAACCCTTCCAATAATTGACAAGACCAATTAAAATATCATTTCTCTAAGGTGTATAAAACATGTAAATTTCTATATTAAGTTTTACACATTTGTGAACTTTACAATAATCACCACCAAATTATCCAAGAATACAATCTTTTTTCCATATGTTAAAATATAAGAAACTTATCTGGTTCTCTTAATTGGGTAAGTAATTTAATGAATTATTTGTTTCTTCTATTTCTAATTTCAAAAGATATGTTTATGTTATTATTATTATAAATTTATTGAATAGTTATTCTATTATCATAACTTAGCAAAATGTCGAACTCTATACCTGGTGTGTTGACAACTATAATACTCTTATAAGTATCTATAATACTCTTTCTTCATTGATATTATTCAGTGTTAACTCTGCTAGTTTAGGAAATCTTACATTATTTATGGAAATTTTTTTTATCCCTTTATATATTAAAATCATTAATTATAATTTCATTTTGTTAAATGTACTTCTCATCAACCTGATTTTGCAAATTAGTAGCTAAGCTGATAAATGTTGAATGTGACAATTTGATCGAGAATTAAGATTCAAACTTTAGGTTTGCTTATATTTACAGTATTATTTCCTGAAGTGTGTAGAAAGGATAAGATGTAGAAAATTTTTTATTTTAAATGTGTTTTTAAGTGTATATTTATTGTTCTAGCCATTTATCAAAATTAGTTGAAAAATATAGAAGAATGTAACTTATTAATTAGAAAAATAATATAACAGTTACTTGAAAATTATAATCACAAATTAATAAGTCATCAATATTTTGTTACAAAGTAAATAAAGATTGAGCAAAAAAGGATAGAGAATGTTTTAAACTGGAAGTCTTGTAATAATGTATTACATTGTTACTTATTTTCAACTTTTAAGAGCTTAAAATCCTAAAATTTGAATGTGTCCATGTTGTTTTATGAAGAATTCATATAAATCACTGAAAATAAATGTTTTCAGTTAAAAACAAGTAAAAGTTATACTCCATCTACTTCCGAGTTTGTTTTCTAATTACTGAATCTAGAATTCATACAGTCATGCCTTAATGTGTAATTTGAGAAACTTGCCAATATTGGTGGGTTAAAATCATAATTCAAATTTAAGTTAAATCTAATCTTAGCACAAGATGATAAATATGGTAGAGTTTCATCAAAATCAGTACATTATAATTCCTTTATATTCTAAATCTGAGTATTGTCCAGATTCTCTATACAGAACTACTTGAATTTATGGCATCTGCAATTCTAAATACAGCATATACTAAAATTTAAAAAAATTACCAACTATAGAATAACCTTTGAAGTTATTAATAAATACTTATCTCAGTGACCAAGCACAATAATAATACCTGTCATATCAAAGGCAATAAACAGAACAAAAGGCTTAGTGGTGTTCACTAGATTAGAGACAACTATCATAATAAAAATATAAATATTTAAACTTTCCAACCTATGGACAAGTCTCATTAATTCATCTTATTCCATGGAGCATGCCGCTCAGCAGTGAAATTGATAGGAAGCACATTTCTGTAGTCGTCAGTTTTTTGATAAGTGTCTAAGTCAAAATAGCTTGGACATATCTGTAGTCAACATAGGAAATACATTTAATAGGAAAAGACACTCAATTTCCACTGCTAATTAGCATGCTCCATAGAATATTTTGATGTTTGTAAAATGGCTGCAAGCAGAAAGTTATTGGATGTTAAAGCTTTAGGTTTTATAAAGGCTAATCCTAGGTCAAAAATACATAGATATACCGAAGTAAGTGCCAAATAAAATGTTTAATGATTAAAAAGAGAAAAACTTATTCTATTAATTTTTTTTAATGTTAACAAAAGAACAAGGCAAATCCCAAAGTTTTATGACAAATATTAGTTTAATGATTTTTTTGGAAATAACCAAAATACCTAGTCTGTATTCGCATTTTTCACCGGATGCGCACTCTCTGGTTTTTAAAAATAAAACTATTCTATCTGGATTGTTTGATTCATTCTTGTGTATTATCAGCAGTAAAGATAAATAGCAATAGAAATTTCAAAGCCTTACAGGAGCCTAATATAAGTTTTCACCTATTCCCACGTGAAAAACAGATGATTATTCGGAAATCAATTGGTTATATTTATGAGCTGCTCTGAATTCTGAAAGAGTAGATTAGATTGTTAAAAATTGGCAGTTTCCTGATTGTCCAAGCTTTAAATAAACAAGTTATGCTGTTAATTTTAAAACATATTTTCTTAAAATACCAGTAATTTTGTGTGTGACACAGGGTCAGATTTAAGCATTTTGAAGCCCTAAGGTGAACTCTAAGACCCCTTACCAACCTTTCACAATTTTATAGAATTCAATCATAAAAAGAAAAGAATTAAATCAGATTGTCTCTGATTTAATACAGATATTGGAAGAAAAAGATGTGAGGTTTCACTAATCTTCTGTTTTATAACTGAATTTAAATAAATTTTTATATCCATTCCATTGAAAATCTTTCTTTAATATGTTAGCAATTTCAAATAAAATACTTCCTAACACATCCTAATATGTTTTTTGTTGTTAAAAAATTAGCAATGATAAAAAGAAATTTTAGGATTTATTACAAAATTTTAATATATTTCATAACTGCACTTACCTTCCAACATTGTTTTTATAGTTACAGAAGCTTTGGCAATTTCAACATCCACTTCAAAAATTTCACCATCTGAACTCTGAAGCTTGATATTAGGCATCTGAAAGATTTTTATTATTAAATTTTAAATTAGTATTAGAAAAAAATTGAAAAAATTGCCAGTTTTCTTTAAATTTTAAAACCAAAAAATATGTACATTATCATCCACCTATATTTTTCATTTATTTCAGGAATGACTGATCTTACTTTGCATTAGTGTTATAATTTTTATCCGTATAAACAGAATCTAACTCACAGGAATGAAAAATTTTTGCATAGAAATATACAACGCTACATTAGATAATGAAGATTTAACCAAGAATTATACAGGGTGTTTATAAATGAACGGTGCGGTTTTAAAAATTAATAATAAATCTATTTATTACCTTATATGGGCAAACCTTACAGCACAAGCAGCTGCAACTGTCCAAGTTCACAGAAATGCACGTGAACTTCTTAATCGTGTTCTTCACCAATGTAGGATTGGATGTGGTGCAACAGCAGACAACAACCCGCTCCCCTGGCCACCCTGTTTGCCAGATTTAACACCCTGCAATTTCTTTTTGTGGGGTTTGTTAAAGACCAAGTTTATGTACTGTCAATGCCCTTGTCTCTTGAGGAACTGTGCGATTGGATAAAAGCATGCACTGCAGACCATCACGGAGGACATACTACACCATATATGGAAGAATTTGATTACCATGTAGATGTGTGTCATGTGACCATGGGTGCACATATTGAAGGATTGTGATTAATGCATAAAAACCTGTAGTTGCCACTTATGCTGTAAGGTTTGCCCATATAAGGTAATAAATAGATTTATTATTAATTTTTAAAATCACACCATTCATTTATAAACAAAATTAAGGTGATAAAAAATATAAGTCATTTTGATTTCCATTTCACATTTTTTATTTCAAAGATATAGAATATAAAAAATATAAAAATTAAAGTGTTATTCTAAAAAAACTGTAATAATAACTTTTAGAAACAGAAATAAAATACAGAAAAATAAAAATACAACAGAAATTATATATAGTACCTAATACCATTTTATTCATTACCATTTTTTAAAAAATAACTTCTCAAGAAACTTAAATTATTTAAAGTCTTATCTCCTAATTTTGATCTAATTTTTGTACAAAATAATCCAGGTTGTTAGGTTAGGTTTCTAGACTTTTTCGGACAGCATCTTTAAATAATAAAAATCTTTCCAGCATGTTTAGTAAGCTATTCCACCTGGTTTTACAATCTAAAATTAAAAGTTCTTTTCGTGAGAGTAATGGGAATTCCCCAAGAAAATATTGTTAGAATAATACATATTTTGCACAATCTTGAGGCATAATATTAGAATCTTGTAATAAATATTTGTATTTAATTATTTTAAACAGTTGTTAAAAGTAAAAAATTTATTTAACGTTCAAATTTAAATGTTATTTTACAATAATGTCGCGTATTCAAAATTGCTATTAATTTAAAAAATATGTGAAATATTTACGTATAATAATTTTTAAATATTGAAAAATATATATATTTACTTACTCTTTAAGAAAAACATTGATTGTAAAGATTTTAAACCTTTAAAAATCGCAAAAAACTGCAGAGCACAAATCACATATGCTAACTAGAGCTTTCTGTACAATTTACAGTGCCTCTCAAACCCAAGAAACTTTAAATTAAAATTAAGCAAAAAATCTCATAAAATTGATAATTAGTTATATTGTTGCTTACACTTGCCTGGTTTTTTTTATTTTCAATGTCCCTTTAGCTCTTTTAAATATCTATAAACACAATATTTTCTACATAAAAATTTCTAGTATGAATTTTTCATTCGGTAAGTTTACCGAATGTTTTTTGTCAATTTATCAGTTAACCGGTAAATTGGTATACATTCCCTAATTATCAATATGAGAGATAAGCANTAGTATTAGAAAAAAATTGAAAAAATTGTCAGTTTTCTTTAAATTTTAAAACCAAAAAATATGTACATTATCATCCACCTATATTTTTCATTTATTTCAGGAATGACTGATCTTACTTTGCATTAGTGTTATAATTTTTATCCGTATAAACAGAATCTAACTCACAGGAATGAAAAATTTTTGCATAGAAATATACAACGCTACATTAGATAATGAAGATTTAACCAAGAATTATACAGGGTGTTTATAAATGAACGGTGCGGTTTTAAAAATTAATAATAAATCTATTTATTACCTTATATGGGCAAACCTTACAGCACAAGCAGCTGCAACTGTCCAAGTTCACAGAAATGCACGCAAACTTCTTAATTGTGTTCTTTACCAATGTAGGATTGGATGTGGTGCAACAGCAGACAACAACCCGCTCCCCTGGCCACCCTGTTTGCCAGATTTAACACCCTGCAATTTCTTTTTGTGGGGTTTGTTAAAGACCAAGTTTATGTACTGTCAATGCCCTTGTCTCTTGAGGAACTGTGCGATTGGATAAAAGCATGCACTGCAGACCATCACGGAGGACATACTACACCATATATGGAAGAATTTGATTACCATGTAGATGTGTGTCATGTGACCATGGGTGCACATATTGAAGGATTGTGATTAATGCATAAAAACCTGTAGTTGCCACTTATGCTGTAAGGTTTGCCCATATAAGGTAATAAATAGATTTATTATTAATTTTTAAAATCACACCATTCATTTATAAACAAAATTAAGGTGATAAAAAATATAAGTCATTTTGATTTCCATTTCACATTTTTTATTTCAAAGATATAGAATATAAAAAATATAAAAATTAAAGTGTTATTCTAAAAAAACTGTAATAATAACTTTTAGAAACAGAAATAAAATACAGAAAAATAAAAATACAACAGAAATTATATATAGTACCTAATACCATTTTATTCATTACCATTTTTTAAAAAATAACTTCTCAAGAAACTTAAATTATTTAAAGTCTTATCTCCTAATTTTGATCTAATTTTTGTACAAAATAATCCAGGTTGTTAGGTTAGGTTTCTAGACTTTTTCGGACAGCATCTTTAAATAATAAAAATCTTTCCAGCATGTTTAGTAAGCTATTCCACCTGGTTTTACAATCTAAAATTAAAAGTTCTTTTCGTGAGAGTAATGGGAATTCCCCAAGAAAATATTGTTAGAATAATACATATTTTGCACAATCTTGAGGCATAATATTAGAATCTTGTAATAAATATTTGTATTTAATTATTTTAAACAGTTGTTAAAAGTAAAAAATTTATTTAACGTTCAAATTTAAATGTTATTTTACAATAATGTCGCGTATTCAAAATTGCTATTAATTTAAAAAATATGTGAAATATTTACGTATAATAATTTTTAAATATTGAAAAATATATATATTTACTTACTCTTTAAGAAAAACATTGATTGTAAAGATTTTAAACCTTTAAAAATCGCAAAAAACTGCAGAGCACAAATCACATATGCTAACTAGAGCTTTCTGTACAATTTACAGTGCCTCTCAAACCCAAGAAAGTTTAAATTAAAATTAAACAAAAAATCTCATAAAATTGATAATTAGTTATATTGTTGCTTACACTTGCCTGGTTTTTTTTATTTTCAATGTCCCTTTAGCTCTTTTAAATATCTATAAACACAATATTTTCTACATAAAAATTTCTAGTATGAATTTTTCATTCGGTAAGTTTACCGAATGTTTTTTGTCAATTTATCAGTTAACCGGTAAATTGGTATACATTCCCTAATTATCAATATGAGAGATAAGCAGGGGGTCAGGGGTTAATTCCATCTGACCACAATCTACACAGATCGTGAGATCCAATCTTGAATGTCAATGGATGGTTAACCTATGAGCAGTAATAAGGATCTAGATTGTGAAATCAAGATCCACGTCAGGATGTTGACACCAGTTAAACTATTAATTCACAGTTTAACGCGTGATTCTTCTATTATTCCGATTGGGGGGCTCGTTTGAGTGGGGGATATGTAAATAAGTGATAGGAGTCCGTGAGGAAACTAGAATCAAGTCCCATTAGCAAATTAACAATAATTTTAATGAATCACAAAGAATACAAATGAACTAAATACATCTAGCTATGATTAAACCTTAAACTAAACCTTAAACTAGATCCCTAAAGATGAGAGAGTGTTTACAAACAATATTACGTTTTATTGTATTACCTCTGTGATTGACTTATGCGATTCGTAATCTTGGGCAGAAGTTACTTGTAAGAGAAACTATGGCACTTAGTTTAACAAGGACCTTGCTGGAGCACTGAAGAGCTGAAGTGACCTGAGTTTAGCACGTATCCCCTATTTATACTTTTCAATTTTTCCAGATCTCTTCCAATGGAGATCAAGCTCACCTGACTGGGTGTGGTCAATGAGTCTTTTGAGTTAGTCAGCTCTTTTAGTCATGGGAGATAACAATAGCCCATGACTAAAAGAGGGATTATCATCTCCCATTGGGAGAGAATTGTTCCTTGTTCTCTTTGATGTGTAACTTTGATAATACAGTTGTCCCTTGATAATCTGACAGGTATGGGACCAAAGGGGTGTTGGATTACAAAAGTGATTACATACTTGGCATTATTTTGCTAGCAGTAGCCTACAATATTCTCTACTCCATCTGTTTGAACAGAACTGCTTACGGAAAACACAAGAAATGTGTGTCATCGTGTAAGAATTGGGTGGGGAGATTCATGTTGCGACATGCTTCTGTGCAAGCACATGTAACGGGGATGGGGATTACGGTGACCTTGATGGGAGATGCATCGGACTACTGAGCATGTCGGATGACAAAATGTCAGTCTATCAAGGGACAACTGTAATTTCAATTTATTATATTTAACTTTTTTCTCTATCCATTTTCTAGAATTTTATCTAAAACTCGAAATATCACAAATATATATTTTTACATTTAATATTATTATTCTGTTCGTTTTTCAATATCTTAATGATTGTAAGCAATTCTTCACCAGTTTCAATCTCAATACATCAAGTGGCACAACACTGTTTAAAAATTTCACATTTTGTTTTAACTTTGTTATGCAAAATCCTAATATTGCATTCAGAA